CTTTTTTCAAAATATTTGATACAAAAATCCTTCCTATTCTATTGTATGGTTCAGTGGTATGGGGTTTCAATAATTTTGACGTAATTGAGAAAATACATTTATATACTTGTAAGAATGTTTTAGGAGTGAAAGTAAGTACACCTAATGCCATGGTATATGGAGATTGTGGAAGATTTCCCATACACATTTTTGCTAAAGTTAGAATAATTAAATATTGGATACGTCTGTTATATATGCCATCTGATAGATACCCTACACAGTGTTCTGATATGATGTTAATGTACGATAACAACGGGAAGACTAACTGGGTGACTAACATTCGAGAACTGTTAAATACAATAGGCTTTGGGGAGGTATGGCAAAGGCAAAATGTTGACTTTCATACAAAGTTTGTGAATAATGTTACTCAAAGGCTCAAAGATATATATACACAAGAATGGGTAGGAGCACTGTCATTGTCAAGTAAATGTTTCTAGTATAGAATGTTTAAATCCCATATATACAGAGAGAATTATCTGCTGTCACTAAATATCAAGAAACTTCGAAAGGCTTTTGCTCGGTTTAGGTGTTCCTCACATGACTTGGCAATCGAAACAGGGAGATATCATAAAATAGAGAGGGAAAATAGAATTTGTACATTTTGTGATCTTAATTGTGTAGAAGATGAATATCACTTCCTCTTTATTTGCCCATTATATTGTGAGTTAAGAAAAAAAAAATGTCCCAAGATATTATTCTGTATATCCCGATAGGGTGAAATTTTCTTTGTTAATGAGTACCGATGACAATGTTCTTATCCGTAAGTTATCAACCTTCATCTATCAAGCATTGTCTCTAAGAAATAAACATAATAATCCATAGAATGTATGTACTCATATTGTTATTTGTTACGAAATGGTATGATGTGGTGCGATACGATATGATATGATATGATACGATACATGGTATGATATGACATGATGTAATTTGGGGTGTTTTTGATATGATGTGATACGACAAAGTATGTGTAATGCGATGTTATATGATGTGATACATTTTGATGAGATATGACATATTGTGATTTGACTATTTTTATTCTTTTCTATGATATTGTGTACTATGTTCTTGTATACTATGGGCCCGTGGCCTTCAGTATGAATAAAGATTGATTGAATGTATCATCTTCATCTGGAGCAAGGAATGTATCATCTCGAGCAAGGAATGTATCATCTGTAGCACGGAATGTATCATCTTGAGCAAGGAATGTATCATCTGGAGCAAGGAAGGTATCATCTTCATCTGGAGCAAGGAATGTATCATCTGGAGCAAGAAATGTATCATCTGGAGCAAGGAATGTATCATCTTCATCTGGAGCAAGGAATGTATCATCTGGAGCAAGGAATGTATCATCTGGAGCAAGGAATGTATCATCTCGAGCAGGGAATGTATCATCTTCATCTGGAGCAAGGAATGTATCATCTGGAGCAAGGAATGTATCATCTCGAGCAAAGAATGTATCATCTGAAGCAAGGAATGTATCATCTTCATCTGGAGCAAGGAATGTATCATCTTGAGTAAGGAATGTATCATCTGGAGCAAGGAATGTTTATCTCGAGCAAGGAATATATCATCTGGAGCAAAGAATGTATCATCTTCATCTGGAGCAAGGAATGTATCATTTGGAGCAAGGAATGTATCATCTGGAGCAAGGAATGTATCATCTTCATCTGGAGCAAGGAATGTATGATCTGGAGCACGGAATGTATCATCTTCATCTGGAGCAAGGAATGTATCATCTTGAGCAAGGAATGTATCATCTGGAGCAAGGAATGTATCATCTGGAGCAAGGAATGTATCATCTTCATCTGGAGCAAGGAATGAATCATCTCCAGCCAGGAATGTATGATCTGGAGCAAGGAATGTATCATCTGGAGCAAGGAATGTATCATCTTCATCTGGAGCAAGGAATGTATCATCTCCAGCCAGGAATGTATCATCTGGAGCAAGGAATGTATCATCTCGAGCAAGGAATGTATCATCTGGAGCAAGAAATGTATCATCTGGAGCAAGGAATGTATCATCTGGAGCACGGAATGTATCATCTTCATCTTGAGCAAGGAATGTATCATCTTCATCTGGAGCAAGGAATGTATCATCTGGAGCCAGGAATGTATCATCTGGAGCACGGAATGTATCATCTGGAGCAGGGAATGTATCATCTTCATCTGGAGCAAGGAATGTATCATCTGGAGCACGGAATGTATCATCTTCAACTGGAGCAAGGAATGTATCATCTCGAGCAAGGAATGTATCATTTTCATCTGGAGCAAGGAATGTATCATCTCTGTTTAAAATATTGGTTTAATATCATCCATATCGGTAAGGTTACATGGGTATCGCATATAAGGACACTATTATTCTCACATGGATATGGGTTTGTATGGTTTAATCAATCTGTTAGCTATCTATATCCATTTCTAAATGATTTTCGTAAAGTAGCAGTAAATATGTTCTATCAAGGATGGCAATCCAACTTAGAAAACAGTTCACGTTATTGTCTTTGCAAAACGTTTAAAACTTTATTAGAGCCGGAAAAATATTTATTAGTTTTCACAAATAGTAACCTAAGAAATATATATTAAATACAGACTTGGCTTGTCAAATTTAATGATTAATTATGGACGGAATATATCACTTGAAAGAATACAAAGAATTTGTCCACTATGTAACTCTGCTATAGATGACGAAATACATTTTACCTTTGAATGTCCTTATTATGCAGAAATACCAACTAAATGTACACCAGAACGTTTCTCATCTAAGATGAGTAGAATGGGGTTTGTTTTTATTTTGTCATCGAATGATGCCGATGTAATATTTAAATTATCTCTTTTTGTAAAAGATGGAATAGACCTAAGAAATAACTTGTTGAATGGGATTTCAGATTTACCTTACTCTAAAAAGTCCTCCTGATTACCACCAATTGTTAATTGAATGTTATATTTTTAATTTTTCCGCTGTATCTACTAATCGGTATATTTTCAACCAGTGTGTTTACCTAAACTTGTATGTGGGCAGATGGCCTTTGATACAATAAAACACCTTTGACTTTGGCTGGGCGGAAGCGGAAATAATATCGTTCTGTGACTATGATACAGCAGAGACCATATAATAGACAGTTATGTTGTCTCTGGATACAGATTGGGACAAGATATGGAAAACAAAATATTTTGACAACAGACCATTGCTTGGGTCTTTTAATTGTAAATATGATTCAAATAGCTTAACCTACATTTAGATATCCTTCGAATGTACATTTGGTTGAAACTGGAATGTATACATATAAAAGAACGAATGTTTACTTATAATTCAAAAGTATAACAGCACGAGCATCCATTTTGTCTTTTGTCTTCTACCCGTCCTTACATACGCTCAATCACATGTGGGGCGGTGGGGTAGCCTAGTGGTTAAAGCGTTGGCTCGTCACGCCGAAGGTGTAGGTGTAGGTGGCTTGAAACTCGCTTTTACAAAGGCCTATAGGTTCGATCACATTAATATTCGATTTGCAGCTTCTTTTCTTTTAACATGCTCACGTCAAAACTGATTTAAATTCTGATCGCAGATAAAAGAATAAGACAATCAATAGTATGCCAAATTATCGTTACCATGACAACCCTGTGATATTTCACCTTATGTAAGAGAGTAATAAATACGATGGTAGGTAAGGCAGTACTACTGCAGATGATAGTGTATATCGTAAATTTCATTAAGTTGCTGCAGTGCACTTCCTAATCACTGGGTATCTATATAATTATATGTGTGATGGAGGAGAACATGCGTCGCTACTTTTCTCAATAATCTAAATGCATGTATGTAGCGTGAAACCGGCAGATGCCTAAAGAAGAAAGTGTTTGCCGTACCTGTAACAACGATGTACCGTGTCTATGAAGGGGATATAATGTGGGAATGAATGAAATTTACTTTTATCTGGGCCCGTTTATGATGATACATAGTACTATATATGTTAAAACACGAGTGTTGGGGAATTAGCTCGCTTGGCAAGAGGTCTGCCCATACCAACCCACACACAAAACAACACCTGAGTAAATAAACAAGGAGTTTATTACACAGCAGTCACTGAACGATTTTACATAATCAGTCAATAATACCATAGTTTACAATTAATTATTAGAACATGTTCACAATACAATCAGATATCAAAGTACATAAACATCACATGTAGATTCGTTACACACGACACATACTACATTAATCGTGATACATATTCCAATGTACACAACAATAGTTCAGTACACTACACATTACCCCTGTGGGGGTTCATGCAATCGACATTATGTAACGGTCACAAAAAGCATAGTGTTCACAACGTAAAACAATAGTTAAAATATCCGACACACTCTATACATTCCATAATAGTCACAAAACAGTGTAGTGTCAATCAGTATAAAATACACAATCCTAAACTGTAATACCGAAGATATGAGACACATACTAAGGGATGCCTCGTTCCACATAAACCTGAAGGTACTGCCAGGGTTGTAACATATAGTTAAGGTTTTTACAATAGATTAAAGTTAACCTAGAATAACAATGGTATATATGTCAAAGTAGAAGAAAGTAAAGTTTCTTACCTGAGTAAATAAACAAGGAGTTTATTACACAGCAGGCACTAAACGATTTGTGACTGTGTGTTGTCCCTGTTTTATACCTATTCCAGTCATCATAGATAATCCCATTTACTGATACACTGACGATAAAGTTGTTGTTGTGAACTTCAGTTGCTTTATCTAAATCCTATTGCCTAACTCGACCGACGATACGGTGCCAACTACGCACTTAAGCTACTCTATCTTGACCGGATTATATCATAATTTTCATAAACGTATTGAAGACATCAGTGTTGATGGGTGAAGTTCACAGTGAATTTGATTAGCTTATTGCTATCTGCAGACCCGGACCAGATACTGGTTTCGGATGTTCGTTATCAATGTGACCCTTGGCAGCTTGAAGATTGTGAACCGTGGTCAGTTAATCTGTACATATCCAGTTTTCAATAATATATACTGTCATAAATATTGGTAAAACTTATCCAGTTTAATCATGTTAATAGTATCCCCCTGTTCTTTTAAAATTTCGTTCCGAAATTAGTATTAGCAAAATAACACCATACATATTTACAGTACGAGTGATGGGTAAATCGTGGTACAGAAACAACTGGTATCGCGTACCCATGATGACTGACGAGAACATGTGGACAGATTGAACTTAATCCGCGAAAGGTGTATACAACGGTAAAAGTAGATGCCAGATGCAAGTTAAGGAACCAACTGTAAGTAAGGAGCATTAAAGAGATAGTAATAAAGCTACTGGAACATCTGACTATCATGATGCTGAGTAGATTAGCGATGTGCCTCTTTCCCAAAACAATACACAAGAAAAACTTGCATCATTTTATGTGTACACCAAATGGAACAGCATATAGGGTTTTGTTGAAATTGCAGCGCGCACGCAATTTCTAGCACTTGATAACTATGCATGATCTAGATGGTGTTGACATCAATGAATTTAGGTATGAAGACACATCCCTAATCCCTGTTATTTACTTTATTTTGAGGTATTTGTAGGGGCGTTTCCGTCTCTTACCTTTCGTGGTGAAGCGTTCGTGAAAGATGCGCTTGGATTCTTCAGTAACATGTTCAGAGGGTTCCGATGAGTAATCAACCCACTTGACTAAATAGTAACGTTTACCCTGTTGCATGCGTTGACGCAATAATTTTTCAACTGGGTAGTACTGGTCACTTACCTTGGGTGACTGTTGCTCACAAACCACTTCAGTTGTCTGAGAGAGTGACTGATTGGGTACTGTTGTTTCCCAGTGTTCCTCTGATTGGGACGGGTTTACGTCATCTTCCGAGTTACCCTTAGAATCGTTACCTACCTTCGATACCTGTTTCTCCAAATTGTCATTTGTGGCCTGAGAGACTATAGGATTGTTGAAGGTAGACCTGTTTTCCGATTGAGAAGGAGCGATGTCACCTTCCAAGACATCCTGTTGATTATCAGTGTCCACAGCTACCTGTGTATCAGGTCGATTCTGGACAGTGTGTGTCTCATAAAATGGTTTCAACGTGTTGGCATGAGTGCGTGATGGTAGCTCTTTGAATGTTTCTCTATTGTGCACCTGATAAGTGTCATGAGAACACTTTCTGCTAATAAGATAAGGGCCTTTGTACTTTGGTTCGAGTTTGTGTGACCGTTTCTTAACCGTGACTGGATTGGTCATCCAGACGAGGTCACCTTCATCATAAGTACACCCTTTAGCCTTGGAGTCATAACGTTGTTTCATTTTCTCCTGGACTACCTTCAAATTTTCTGTAGCTACTGTGTTCGCCATTTTCAGGTTGTCCAACACCTGTGAAACATGTTCCACTGCATTTTTACCTAACGAAGTCATGGTAAAATTGCTGTGTCAAAGGGAACATGCATCCCATTGCCAAAAAGCATGTGGAAAGGAGAGAATCCTGTAGATTGTACCCTTGGTGTCATGCGGAATGCCATCATTATCCCTGGAATCAAACTAGGCCAGTTTGAGTGATCAGTGTCACAATATGTGCGAAGGGATTGAAGGATAGTACTGTTTGTCCGCTCACAGGCGGAATTCGTCATTGGATGGTAGCTACTTGTAAGATGACGTGTAACCTGGAAGATTTCACAGAGAGCATAAACAAGTTTAGACGTGAAATTGCGACCTTGGTCAGAGACAATGGACCTTGGAGCACCATAACGACAGGATATCTCCTGATATAAAACACGTGCCACTTCTGTAGCTTCCTGGGATTTGCGAGGGAATGCCTCTGACCAACGGCTGTAGGAATCTATCACAAGAAGGATGTGTTTGTAGCCTTCAGGTGTCTCCGTCAATGGTCCAAGGAAGTCAATGTGATGTCGTTAAAATGTCTCAGTAATTGGCAGTGGATGGAGGGGTGCTCTGCTGGGATGCCGTGAAACTTTTGAGACTTGACAGATATGACATGACTTGATGTAATCATGAACGTACTGATACATCCCAGACCAATAGTACTTTAGTTTGAGAGCCCCATACGCTCTGTCAGCACCAAGGTGACCACCACCTGCTTGAGAATCATGGTATGAGAGAAGAGCATCCCTGCGGAGGCTCTTGGGAACGGCTAACTGACGAATGAGTTTATCAGTTGCTTCCATCTGGCGAGTACGAGGCTGGTAAAAATGGTAAAGTACCCCATGTAACATGTCATATTCATGAGCAGTGTTTTGAATCCTTTTCCTCTGGTTATATCTTGTGGTAAAGAACCATCTTCGAGGAAATTTACAATGCCTTTGAAATCAGGACACTGCCGTTGCATTTCTCCAATATTTTCCACATCAAGAGAAGAGGGAGTGGGGGTTGTCTCCATAATGGTATCCACAGCATAGATAGATGGGGATGGGGTGTCGTAGAAAAAATGAATTTCGAGAGATTCAGTTTGTGTGTGATGGTTGTCATTGACACCTAGCGTCTGTCTAGGTGGGTAGGTTCTCCTAGATAGTGCATCAGCATTGGTGTTCACTCTCCCACGCCTGTGAACAATGCCATAGGTGTACTCTTGCAGTTCAAGAGCCCATCTATGGAGACGACTGGTAGTCTGCTTGATGCTCTGCAACCAGACTAAGGCCTTATGGTCTGTAATGATTTTGAAGGGATTACTCGTGAGATAGATGCGGTTGATCTTGACTGCTTCTACCACAGCTAGACACTCCTGTTCACTGACGGTCCAGTTCTTTTCATATGAATTCAGAGATCTTCCCCCATATGCAATTGCTCGTTCCCTACCCTGGTCATCTAACTGGCCTAAAACATAACCGATTGCATATCCTGATGCATCTGTGGTGAGAATAAATGGTTTCATCACATCAGGGTAGGCTAAGACAGGAGCTTCAACAAGACTTTGTTTCAATTGTTCAAATGCGGTTTGGCAAGTGTCAGACCAGTGAAAGGGGGTATCTTTCTGTAAAAGGGCATTTAGTGGTGTTGCTAGTTTGGAATAACCTTTGAGAAATTTTCTATAGTAATTGCACAATCCAAGGAAGCTGCGAAGGTGACGGATATTCTTTTGAGGGGGAAAAGTACGAATAGCTTCTGTTTTGGAGGGGTCAGTTCTTATACCCTTTTTGGAGAGGAAGTGACCAAGGTAGAGAACCTCAGTACGAGCAAAGTTGCATTTATCCGGCTTTAGTTTGAAATTAGCTGATCTCAAACGATCAAAAACTGCTTGCAAATGGGAAAGATGTTCTTAAAAAGTCTTGCTGTAAATCAAAATATCGTCCACATATACTAGGACATGCTTCCATGTCAAGCCTTGCAGGGCTCTTGCCATGACCATCTGAAATGTGGAGGGAGCATTGCGTAGCCCAAAAGGCATAACACGCCATGTACTCTGCGTGACAAGGGATGCCCTGTGAGCTGTTTCAGAATCCATAGGAATTTGCCAGAACCCTGATGTCAAATCAAGCGTGGAAAATATTTGAGCATGGGAATCACCAATAGCATCAAATGCATCTTCCAGGCGAGGATAAGAAGCCGGAATGGTAATCTTATTCAATGATCTGTAATCTATGGCAAAACGGAACTCAACCGATTTCTTCTTGACTAAGACCACCGGACTCTGCCAAGGGGACATGGAGGGTTCAATGAACCCAAGGTCAAGAAGTTCCTTGGTCTGTCGATCAGTTTCTTCTTTGCTTTCAGGGCTCTTCCGATATGACGGCAGATTTGGAGCCAGGTACTGTGTCTATCCTATGTGAATATAGGTTAGCAGCAAACACATCCCTGTTGGCTTTAAGAAGTCTAGATCAGTCTGATTTCTTAGTATCATTTAGATCTGCCTTGCAGAGATCAAAGTTTATGTTTGAAGGCTTACCTTGAGATGTAGGCGGGGGTCTGTCCTCCAAGGGATGTATGAAGGCAACATCGACAGGGTGGGCAACTGCTATGACCTTGCGGGAGGGTAGGACAACTGGTTCACTAGTTGGGTTCAAAAGGGTAAAACATGCCCTACCCTTTTTTGACTGTGCAAGACACTTAGCACCTGCCAATTTGCATGTAGTCATTTGAGGGACTGGTTCGAATAGAAAGGCACATGACCGACCTTTGTGGTTAATCAACCTAACGGGAATGGTGACTTGCATGTTAGAAGGTATAGTGACAGATGCACATGTACGTACAAGACCTGAGCCAGTGGTTTGGAGAGGTACCATGACTAAACCATGATGGAAGGCAAGAGTATGTGTGCTATAGTCTATGATGGCTTCATTTTGATTAAGAAAATCTTGCCCTAGGATGATTGAATGTTGCACTGATTTGAGAACTAAAAAGTTGTGGTCGATTGTCATACCACCAATGTAGAGGGAAATCCTAACTGACCCAAGTACTTTAATGTGCTTTCCCCCAACACCGCTAACATTTGAGAGGGTACTGGCCTGCATCTGGGATAGAGGAATACCTGCCCTTTGCAAAACGGGGAGACATAGAACTGACAGAGTGGCACCTGTGTCTACTAAGGCATGGCGGCGAATATTACCAATCGTTACATAGACTGTATTCTTAATCTGTGACTGATGGGACAAACTCGATGATTTCGAGGTACTGGTATGCCTACTGAGAGAAGATTTGGACGTTTTTCTACCCCTAGGGTCTCTTAAGGTGTGCCTGCTCATAGGTCAGGGCCTACCAACAGGCGCAAGCCATATTGCTGATTCAATCGTAGGCGACATACCCTAGCAAAGTGATGTAACCCACTGCAATAGCTACATTGCTGATTGGAGGATGGACATGAAACTCTAGACCTGCAGTCGTTACCACAACCCCGGCAATTACCTGAGGTTTGTCTGTAGTTGTTCCTCTGTTGTTGTTGTTGCCATTGTTGTTGCTGCCATTGTTGTTGCTACCGTTGTTGTTGCTGCAGAGGCTGGGCAGAATGACGTATGTTGACTCTGGGCTGGTGAGACTGATCACGGTTGACATATGTGTTGACATACTGCCTCTGGGGAACGTGGGCCATCTGAGCAGTCAACTTGTCAAGTTGCTGCTGTTGTGTTGTCAACAGGGCAGCGATGGTGGCCAGTTGATCGTTGTCAACCACAGGATATGCCACGGATGATATGGATGGGGTGGCAACCTGGGTGGCCTGGAGAGCAGCTTCAGCCAGTCTTACCTGATGTGATAATGTCTCTAGTGATTGTGGATCATGGGGAATGACTAATCCCTTCAAAGGAGGCTGCAAACCATTGGTCTCAGGGATCTGGAGGCCAGCTGTCATCTCCTGCACACGTTCAATGAAGGCAGACCCGGACTCGTTGTCGTTTTGGTGGGCGGACAGGAAAGCCGTCTGTGAGGATACGTCGTTGAACCTGCGAGTGAAGACGGCTTCGAATTGGGCTGCGGTTGTTGGGGCTGGATGAAGAGAGTCCAGCCAGGTAGCAGCGGGTCTGTCTAAGTACAATGGCAGGAGGTTCAAGTAGACGGAATCTGTGTGATTGATACTGTCGAAAACAATCCATTTTCTTCAGCCATTGTCAGGCGTTGCCTGTACCGTTGAATTTTGGCACCAGATCACTCACGTATGCCATATTGGGAGACTGTGTGTGTTGTCGCACGGCTGAAGGATGACCCATCAGTGTTTGGGACGGACGCAATCCTGTCCTCGTTAATAGTGACTGGAGGATTAACGTTGTCTGTGTTTGGGCCCGAAGATATGGTTGTAAGGTCCTCCAGTGGTTCGCCAAGGCCGCTGTATTCGTCGGCGGGGGTCGGAGGTCAGTGTCCAGCTCCTAGTGTTGTAGTTTGTGGGTTGGTATGTAGCCATAGGTCGATTTTTGATTCTCTGCCACCTATTAAAACGCGAGTGTTGGGGAATTAGCTCGCTTGGCAAGAGGTCTGCCCATACCAACCCACACACAACACAACACCTGAGTAAATAAACAAGGAGTTTATTACACAGCAGTCACTGAACGATTTTACATAATCAGTCAATAATACCATAGTTTACAATTAATTATTAGAACATGTTCACAATACAATCAGATATCAAAGTACATAAACATCACATGTAGATTCGTTACACACGACACATACTACATTAATCGCGATACATATTCCAATGTGCACAACAATAGTTCAGTACACTACACATTACCCCTGTGGGGGTTCATGCAATCGACATTATGTAACGGTCACAAAAAGCATAGTGTTCACAACGTAATACAATAGTTAAAATATCCGACACACTCTATACATTCTATAATAGTCACAAAACAGTGTAGTGTCAATCAGTATAAAATACACAATCCTAAACTGTAATACCGAAGATATGAGACACATACTAAGGGATGCCTCGTTCCCCATAAACCTGAAGGTACTGCCAGGGTTGTAACATATAGTTAAGGTTTTTACAATAGATTAAAGTTAACCTAGAATAACAATGGTATATATGTCAAAGTAGAAGAAAGTAAAGTTTCTTACCTGAGTAAATAAACAAGGAGTTTATTACACAGCAGTCACTGAACGATTTGTGACTGTGTGTTGTCCCTGTTTTATACCTATTCCAGTCATCATAGATAATCCCATTTACTGATACACTGACGATAAAGTTGTTATTGTGAACTTCAGTTGCTATATATAAATCCTATTGCCTAACTCGACCGACGATACGGTGCCAACTACGCACTTAAGCTACTCTATCTTGACCGGATTATATCATAATTTTCATAAACGTATTGAAGACATCGGTGTTGATGGGTGAAGTTCACAGTGAATTTGATTAGCTTATTGCTATCTGCAAACCCGGACCAGATACTGGTTTCGGATGTTCGTTATCAATGTGACCCCTTGGCGGCTTGAAGATTGTGAACCGTGGTCAGTTAATCTGTACATATCCAGTTTTCAGTAATATATACTGTCATAAATATTGGAAAACCTTATCCAGTTTTACCGTGTTAATATATAGAATAGCGGTACAAGATCACTTCTGACAAAAGACTCTGTAAAGCTTTATTTATTAAACAAAGCTTTTATCAGGCCCTTATCTCTCTCCGCTAGTGTGATACCACTTTGTGCTCGCCCCCCAACTTCCTGGTCACTATGACTGCAAACCAACACTTTCTTTGTCACTCGATTGTGTTGATCTCAACAAAACATATGAAATACCAGTTTATAGTTTTATATTAAATGCCGACTTTTGAAATTCTTATCGTGTGTAACTTAACTTTTATCTCGCTATGTTTCGTGTGTATTGGATATTATTTTATTAGAATTAAAAAAATCGTTTGTTATATTATAAAATGAAGTGCAATGAACTGCTCGAACAAATGTTGGTGGCGGATGATAAGAGCGATGACAAGTGAGATAGACTGGTGATGCTGGCGGTCGGCAGCAAAGCCAAACAATACTTTGGGGACTATAGCCCAGATAAAATTCAGAAATTGCCCACCGATGAGATCGATAAGCTGTACGCGAGATACGAAAGCTGGCTCGGGGCCGAGATGACAAAAACCATAGGGTTGACCATGACTCAGATCTACACCGGTATAGTGTCGCACTTCCTTCCCTCCCCCCGGAACGTTGACTTTACCTGTGGGAAGATCTCGAGAAAAATCCGTTCATCGAACACACTTTGGGCGCTGTCAGCTGTTTGTTGTAACACAAATATTGTATGTTTTAAGGCCCAGTAACCGCTGTGATTATCACGGCAAAGTATTGATAATTTAAAGAGAAAAAAAATAATTATAGTATACAAGAGGGAAACTGTCCAGTAAGAAATGACTCTCCGACTCCGACACAGGAGCAGGGGGAGGAAACACCGACACAAGTCACCAAGAAGAAGAATCCTAAAAGAGACGCCGCTGGTGAGGTGAGGTGAGGTGAAATTGGGTTTAACATCGTGCTTGAGAATATTTCTCTCATATGACGACGTGCATGCGTTTGTATGTGTTTGTGCGGCTGCTTGTACCCGCCCAGGTAGAAGAGATTATACTCTGTGGATCGCTGCAGGCGCAGCTGCTGCTGCCGTGACAACATTATTTATGTTATATAATAAACCACAACCAGCACCAAAACCCACTCCACAACCCCAATTAGAGGTAAACCAGCATATTATGTTATAAATAAAATATATTTTTTGTTATGTATATAATGTCTGAAGGAAAAAACATACGCTCGCTTAACCAAATTGGTTCTCAAACAACCAACTATCAAACTCGATTTTGACCTGCAGGACATGTGTATGCTTATCATAGTTTTAGAGATGGTGATGGCCACCAAGGGCGTTCCCGTAAAACAAGGAATTATACAGGAAAATATTTTAAAGTAATATAAACATATATAGAATGGCTATGATCGCTATGATGGTCGGCTGGGCTGTAGTCAACGCCCTAGCATTTTCCAGGAGCAATTACCTTTTCTCGAAATTACAAGAGTTGAACGCGGCTAAGGTAGAAGCGGAACAAAAACGCCATGATATAGCTGTGGAGAAATTTCAAACCACGCAAGCTGAGTACGCGAAAAAAAAGGTATGCAGAGACTCGATTTCATTATCGACCAGCTGGGGCGTGAAAACATGACGTTCGAACGTTTAAGAATGTCGATGACGCCGCAAACGAATACCACCTGCTAACCGGTAAACAGCTCGAACCTCTCGGCGATGAACCCACACTAACTCAGTATTACGCGCCTTCCCCGGAACAAAAAAACCCGAGAACTGAACTTTGTCACACTGGGCCTAGCAGCGACCAGGTTAATTGTGAAGCATTTAGATTAGATATTCATATGAATATAACAAAGATGAGACCCGCTCCGTAACATTGTCAATTCGTGCTTATGGGGAAAACCAAGACTTGCGGTAGGAAATGCAGGACCGAGGGGTATTGCTGTATTAACATGAAGTGTATCAGAAAGGGTATCGTGAACTACATTTAATGCACGTTTCATTTTTTTTTGCCTAGCAGATAAGGCTGACAGAGTTACCTCCCCTCTATAACCGGAGGCCTAATGAGAGATTGGCTTCGCATCTAAGTATAATAATGTTTACTGACCAAGAGTCGACCGATCTACAGTTGGTGCGAACTACTAGAACCCCGAAAGGTTCTCTGAGAAGCTGTAATATGGATGTATATAAAAGTATACCTATCGTCAACGTCAAACCTCTGATCACCGACAAACTCGAAGAGGAACTGGACGACCTGGGATGCTTCCAATTTCGAATCATTGTAAACATGGTGCGGACGGAAGGTGCCCTTGATAACGTTTATCCTCTCTTCATGGTACAGAGAAAAGTCGCGACTCAACCCGAGATAAATGTGTACATCAACACCTCGTTGCAAATCATACGAGAATACCTGGAACGCTGCCCACACACTGGTCCCGGGCAGGTTCAGAACATAATCAATACGGTTTATATATGCATAGCTGGCTACAACGCTGAAGTTGACCTAGGTTTGATGCCCTACTACATGTTGTGAAAGCAAATCAATAAAAATCGACCAATGCTATTAAATTGACTGGTAGAGTTACCTCCCCTCCATAACCGGGGGCCTAATTGGATATTGGTTTTGCACCTAAGTATAATAATGTTTACTGCCCGGGGGAGCTTCATAAGTTTGCAGAAGAATGCTGTGTATTCGATGATCTCACCGACCTGTTGTGTAGAGGTAGAATAGTCCGTCGACAGTTCTAGGGAACTACACCCCCCCGGTGGGTAATTATCTGAGAAGCTGGCGGATGGGTGTAGGCAAAAAATATGGAATATTGGCTTCTTCAAATCTCTGATCGCTGACAAACTCGAAGAGGAACAACCTGTGATGCCTCGAATTTCAAATCACGGTGGATATGGCACTTGTTGAGCTCGTTTTCCTTACTTCAGAGGTGGCCAAAGAGTCGTGGATGATAGATGTGTATGTCAACGCCTTGCTGTAAAAAAAATGAGAATACATAGAACGCTGCCCCACGCAGGGTATAGACATAGCTAACTACACGCCAGAGTGGGCCTAGGCTTGTAAAAACAAATCAATAACGTTATTAAATTGGCTGATATAGTTACCTTCCCTCCATAACCGGTGTCCCAATTAGAAATTGGTTTTGCAACTAAGTATAACAATGACTACTGTCCGAGAGCTTGAACAGATTGCACGAGAACGAGGTGTAGTCAGTTACTCCTGATTGAGGAAACCTCAGCTGTTGAGATTACAACAGACAACCTCCTCCTACTGTGAAACAGCTCAAACTCCAAGCGATAGAGCTGGGGCTGACTGTTATTCCCGCATTAAGAAAGACGAGCTCGTCGAACGACTGCACCCACCCGTACAACCTCCTTCCACTGTGAAACAACTCAAACTCAAGCGAAAGAGCTGGGGCTGACCGGTTATTACCGTATGAGGAAAGCCGAGCTCATTGCAACTGTTGCAACAACACAGAGTCGTCGATCTACAGTTCGTGCGAACTGAACACACTATTGGTAATTGTCTGAGAGGCTGGCGGATGAATGTAGACCAAGACATAGATATCGACAACGTCAAACCTATGATCGCTTGATAAACAGCAAGAGGGATGGTGTCGTTGAATACGTTCTGCCTTACTTCAGAGGCAAACAAGAAGTCTAGACTCAACCAGAGACTAGAGACGGGTCCATCGACACCTCTTTGCAAAAAATACGAGAATACCTGGACTGCTATACACACAGGGGTTCCGGGTGGGTTGTGGACAGAATCGATAAGGTCTATCTGGACATAGCTTACTACATACCGTTCAAAGTGGATCGTACCTAGACTTCCCCCCTACTACAAGAGAAAACAAGCCATGGTCAACATCAAAAACAGAGGTAATAATTGTTTGAGGTTGGCGATCAGATCCGTATTGTTTCCGGCTGACGCTAATTCAAATAGACCTTCGAGCTATCCTGAAGACGACGGACTCAACTGGGTTGGTATAGACGACCCCACCCCCATATTTCAGATCACCAAAATCGAAAAACAGAACGACCATATAGCCGTCGTCTTTGGACACGAAGGCACAGGATCAGCCAGATGACTGAGGGCCACATGACGATCAATGTATTCATGATCCAGCGAGGTGAGAAGTACCACTATCCGTGGATAAAACACTTCAGCAGACTGTTGCATGACCAACCGAAATACGACGGGGAAAAACACTTTTGTGAATGGTGCCTGCACGGTTTCATCCGGGCCGACCTGCTGGAATCGCACCGGGAGGATTGCCTAGGCGTGGGACAGACGGCCATACGAATCGACATGCCCAACGAAAACGACAACATCTTAAAATTCACCAACCACAAAAATCAAATGCCCTTGCCTTAAATCATCTACACTGACTTCGAAGCCCTCATCAAACACGTTGACACCATTGGGCCATCCACAGACAAAAGTTTCACGCACAAAACGCAAGAGCACGAGGCCTGTGTGTTTGGGTATGTGACGGAAAAAGAACGCTCCCAAGATGTACAGAGATCCCGACGCAGGTGAAAAATTTCTCATGTGTTTGCAACACGAAGAGAAAACCATCAGGAAAAGGTTGTACATCATCGCTTCCATGGGCATGACCCAAGCCGACCGGCAGCACTCACTGCCACGTGAGCGATGAACCACTGAACGGATATTCGGTGAGTACAGAGGCGCAGCCCACAATGCATGCAACCTCAAACTCAAAATCAATCCCATAATCATCCAAATCCCCGTCGTGTTTCATTTGAGAGGGTCGCCAAGACTCGACCTCTGCTGATGAGGAAGGGCGTTTACCTCTATGAATACATGGACAGCTGGGTTAAGTTCAACGAGACACGACTGTCTCCCATCAACAGATTTCACAGCAACTTGACCAACTTGACCATCACCCAGGACGATTACACGCACGCGATTAACATATGGAATAAACTGGGCTGCAAGAATCTGGGTGAATAACACGACCTGTACTTGAAAAGAGACGAACTCCTGTTGGCAGACGTGTTCGAGAAATTCAGGAAAACGTGCTCGAAACATACAGTCGGGACCCCGCGTGGTATTTCTGCTCCTGGGTCTCTCTTGGGAAGCCTTGTTGAAAAACTGTGTGAAACTCAAACTATTGACGGATTACGACATGCACCTGTTCATCGAAAAACGCTTGCGAGGTGGGATTTCCATGGCCTCCAAAGACTATGCGAAAGCCAACAACAAGTCCGTGAAGACTATAATCCGAATCAACCAACCACCCATATCCTCTATCTCGACGCTAACAACCTGTATGGCTGGGCCATGAGCCAGTATCTCCCCACTGGGGGATTCGAGTGGGTGCCCGAGACGATCGACGTCATGAGGTTACATACTAAAAGTGGACTTGGAATATCCCATGGATTGACACAAATCACACAACAGCTATCCGCTCGTTCCAGAACGTTTGACGGTGAACCCGGACTGGATGTCCGACTACCAATGAAACTTGCTGGGAAACGCCAAAAAACTCGTACCCAACTTGATGAACAAGATCGTGCACTTTGGCAACCGGCAACTGTACCTGTCGATGGGCATGAAAATCTCGAAAATTCATAGGGTGCTCAAGTTCGACCTAAGCCCGTGGATGGAGCCCTACATCAGAATGAACACGGACTTGCGAAAGTGGGCCAACAGTGATTTCAAGAACAACCTGTACAAGCTCATGAACAACTCGGTGTTCGGTAAGACTATGGAGAATTTGAGAAAACGTGGGAACGTGAAACTAGACCGATCGAAAGAGGAAGAAAAACTCAGAAGCAAAATATTCGGCGACGATCTTGTGGTGTTGCACATGAGAAAATAGAGTTTCCCCCAGGATTCAAAAAGGGCAGGGCAACTGAATTTCAAAAAGGGCACCCCTATTACGAAAGGGGCATGCAATGACAGATTTCCAAGTAAGGCTCAAAGAGCACAGTTATTTCACGTAACCTCGACATAAAATAAAAACTAAAAATAACCAAGTGTTGATATCAATCATTGTATTCTTTGTACAGTCTCAGATTTTCCTGTTCTTCCTGGACAGGAATTTTGCAACAACTTTGTCCATGTCAATGTCAGCTGTGGAAGATGTGTTCATGCTTATCATCAAGAGCCTGTTGCAGTTCTTCACACTCAGTCTGTTTCTGTGGTCAGTAACAATGAGCTTCACTCTTGAGAAAACCCTCCCCACTTCTGATGTTGACAGAATGACTGTAGCATAAACACTCAGCAGCTTGACCATGCATGGATAGAGGTTGCCCAGCTGTGGCTTCAGGCTTGTCAATGTTTTGAGCATGGCTGTAGGTGAGCTAGTGTCAAGATCTTCAGAGAAGAGTTCCTCCCCTTGATTCCACTCAAGAAGAGTTTGGTCTGTATCCAACTGGAACTGTTCTGCAAGGTCTGACACCTGCAGGGATAGAAATACCTTTTTTTGTAAGTGTGCCTTAGGGCACCAGACAAATATCTTAGGTGTGCCTTTCAGAAATGAAGTGTGTCCACATGTCTTGAGAATAAATGACAATAATGATGATCATTTGAAGTTTATTGTTAAAGGTCACATGCAACCAAAAAATCAAACATAATTAAAACACAATTATCACTTATTCATGACATATAATATACATTGCTGCTTATGAAAAAACATATAAACAAAACTATAAGCGTACCATTGCAAATCAAAGTGCAATATTGTGTACTTAGGTTTACTTCCCAAGAAACGAAGCAGCCGGGATACCGAACCCAGTCAGAGCGGGTGGGTGTGCACTCAAGTGGAACGGCTGGCTCATTTGCAGAAGCCCTCACGACTCAATTGTGTGTGTATATATAGAGATGTTGGGTTTTGTAAATACATGCTCATTTTTTGTGTATAACATTTGACAATCAACAGACATCATAACATGTCATGTGTTCAAGTATCACACCTGCCTGTCTGTGTAATTACATAATGTGACAGAGACCGAACTCGAGCCATAAATCAATGCATTTTGTTTATGGTGTATAGCCTGATAGGTGTTAAGTTCAAATTGCATGTGGTCAGTGATCGCAGCTGTGTATTGAATATTGTCATTAGCAGACAGGCAGGCAGACACACAGGTGTCAATAAAACAAGACATTGAGTTTTGTCTGTGACAACGACATATCTATATCACAGTTAGAAATTTTGTCAACGCTAAATAATGACATTGCTTTTAAGTATCGAACTGAGACAGTGACTCGGTAAGAAGAAGGTGTGGTGAAATAGACAAATGAAATTATATAAACAGTTAATTTACTGTCATAACATATAAAAAGATCGCGCCTGTGAGATATCAACAAAACATTAGAAAAATAGCTCACACCAAAGCCTTCATAGCGTATTCACCGGACTACCCACTTCCAAGCTGCATGAACCTATTTCACTGCACACGTTCTATGAACGTTTGAACTCCGATTTCGCGCGGTTTTTTTTTATCGCGTTATTTTTCAACTTTATAAGTTGAATTTGCATTTTTGACGATTTGTTTCGGTTAGTCCATACCAAAAAGTATCAGAATCTGCAAAGTTGTGTTTTACGTTGCATGTGACCTTTAAATAAAGAAATGGGTTTCTGAGCATTCAAATGTGTTATCAAATTGGAAAAAAAATAATTGTTTCGGGGATTAAATGACTAAAGGTGAGTTATGTTTTCAAAAAATTGGGCATGCCATAAGGGCACTGAGAACATTTTTAACCATGCCATTTCAATATTTACCATGCCATGGCACACTAATTCATGGGGTATTTCGAACCCTGCACCTGTAAGAGATATAAAATACAAATAGCTACTTGTAATATTAACAACAATGAAGTCATAATAAATATTTGTTTAGAAATTATTGATTATAAATAGATATATAGATATAGGTACAAATCAATCATAAAATGGTTTATTTCATTTATAACTTCATGTACATTATAAACATGTTGTCTGGTTTATTTCAGTTTTCAGGAACTCTAACTACCAATAATTTTAAATTATACTTGAAAAAAATAATGCAACAATATCATGTACAACAAGCATACCTCAGCATCTCCATGAAAGGTGAGAAATGAGGAATCCCCAGACTTGTGAGGACTGGTGTAGCTTGCAGTCTGTCTTCTAAGTTTCCAATCAGTAGGTCAAGGAAGGTATCCATTGAAGACTGTACATTTATCTGCCTGCTATTGGTCATCTCTATACCATACTGGGAAGTGAGCTGGTCAACTTTTGAGAGATATGGGCCTAGCTTCTCCTTCATCTTCTTCAGTGACGCTACACTGCTGCGAAGTTGTGGTTCAACAATACTCAAGTCCAAGTCTCTCCTCTCAAAAAGCTTTGTTAGGTTAGCCAACATGGAACAGACATCACAGAGGAGCAGGATAAAGTACAATTTGTCATATGACTTCAGCTGTTTGTAAAGTCCTTCAGCAGTTACACTAAGCTTGTCACCAGCCCTCTTGTCATTGCCCATTCCAACTGCATTTTCCAGATCTGCAAGAATTGCTGGGTAACACTGCCTGACTGCATGTACTGCTCTCTCATGGCTCAACCACCTGGTATGCACTGCCTTCTTGATTGTGATGGGATTTCCGGATTCTGAGCCTTCCATTTCTCTTGTCAAAATCTGCATTTTTCTCCAGGCTTTTCGATCTAACTGTGCGCAGTAGTGGTAATATTTAAAACAGACCCATCAACAGTTCATCAACACTTCCAATTGCTGTCATGTGTCAGATTTGAAATGCAGAGCTTTATGGCAAGTTGTAGTCGGTGGTTGATGCAGTGGACATCGATCATAGCAGGATTGTCTTTCTTCAGCTGTGTGACAACCCCTTTTCGTTTTCCAACCATCACAGCCGGTCCATCACTAGCAAAACATGTCATCTTCTTTGGGTTGAGGTTTGCGTCTGTCAAATAACCCTTCACAGACTCAACTATTGTGTCTGCAGTTCCATTCGGGATTTCCTGATCACAAAGGTAAGCTAGCTTGGACTCAACATAACGTCAAACAAAAGCAAGATGTTTCCTCGTTGAAACATCTGTATACTCATCAAGCATGAGTCCAAATGAAGTGCTCTCCTTCATTTTCTTCTCCACTTCCTCTTCCACTACTTCAGCTTGGCATTCAACAAACTCTTGTATTGTCCTATGACCCTTGTAAGATGCATTCTTACCACAGTAAAAGTTGGCAATGTTAGGAGCTCCAAGTTCAATGCATAAATCAATTAAAGGTCCAAAAAGTGTGGTATGTGGCAAGTTGTGCTTTATAAGAAAATACAAAACTTTCTGTGCATCTACTAGGGCAGCCTTTTCTTGTCCAGAAAAGTTCCTGAAAGCATTCTTAATTGAAACTGCTTCCTCCTTCTCATGTGAAATTGCATCTTGATGCATCGGTGAGTTTTCATGCAATGACACTTTGTCAAGTCTAATGGTCTCACATCCCTCCTTATTCCATACCATGGATCCATTTCTCCCTTTTGTATTCCACTTTTGACAAAGAGAACAATCATGCCATATTTGAGGCCATCTTCATTTGGACATATTGATATTTCAACCAAGGCCTGTCCTCTTGCAACTTGGATTCAAATGTCAATTTGTGCCCTGCATCTTTTTTCGCTTTCTTTCGAAAACAAGCTGTACTGTTTTCTGTTCCTGCAGGAGTTTCAGATTCATTTGCCGAACAAATCCTGTCTTCATAGGAAAATACTTCTGAATCCTCCAGATTAGGCCTGAAATGTATTATAAGTTACTAAGTATTATGTTTATAGCACAAAAGCAAAAATATTAATCAGAACGTAAATACAGTAGTTCGGAGTATATAACGTCATAAATATGAAAGATAATGTGACTGTAATGTGGCTGCAGTGTTGCAACTTGCAGTTATTACCTCATTTTCAGATAAAGGTGTTGACATTTTCTTTGCAAAAATAAGCAGCATAAGCTAAAGAAAAAAACAAAATATTCCTGCAAATATTGTGACTCACATTATGGAACTATGTTAATGCTCGAAGGATACAACTCATTACTAAATATGTTATGTTTGCAATTCCATACTGCGACCCTGATTATGGCTTCGTAATTATTTCCAATCCGACTAAGCACTCCAAAACATACCAATAACTTGTAAAATTATGATACCCCTAATACTAATAACGTGATTATGCATTGTTCAATAGTTTCAAATGTTGAAATACACAAAACAAATTGTCTATTATACGTTTTATCGGTAAAAATTGAAACAAAATGGCGGACACTTCCGCTTGGGTAACCCAGTTGTAAGCGATACATTTTCGTCGAAATATCTGACCGAGAGCCTATGTAAAGACACTAATGCAAAATATTTTGGAGTACTACAAAAGCCTGAGTCATCTGTTCTTGTCGTAAACAATTTATTATGGTGATGTGCTATTACGAAATTAACTGCACATATGATATAGCCACCTACCTCGCGAAGAAATCAAGAAGTCGTCGACACTTCCTGGCTTCGGCCCTTGTAGCTTCTTCCCTTTTTCTCTTGGTTCTTTCCTTAGTTGGCATTGCGAAATAACCCGCAATTGCAAGTAATGGCAAGTGTAAGCCATCGTCGCTTTTTAAACACTGATAGATAATTGTTGTCAAAACTTTAAAATTGCAAAGGGAGGCAACTCTATTGGATTTCCTAAAAATCCGGACCGAGAGGCGAGTGACAAGTGTCGAACGGGCGAGGTCGTGGACAGAAGGGCAGGGCGCCATACAAAAAGGGCAGAGCGCAAAATAAAAAGGGCAGGGCGAGGCGCCCTGCTAAAAATGCCTAGGGGAAACACTAGAAAAAGTCACATCAAATTCAACCGGCCTGTTCAACCGGCCCGTGGGTATCAGCATCCTTGACTTATCCAAACATCTGATGTACGACTTTTATTACAACGAACTGAAGAAACAGTATGGCGACAGGTGCGAAGTGCTGTACACAGACACGGATTCCCTGCTGATGGAAATTCAAACCGCGGACGTGTACGAGGACATGAAGAGAAAAATAGACCTATACGACAACAGCGACTACCCCAAGGACCACCCGATGCATGACGCACTTAAAAAAAAAAGTGCTCAGTAAGATGATGCCCAAAATGTATTCCATCCTGAAAGCAGACGATAATGAAATCAGAAAAGCGAAAGGCGTGAAAAAATATGTGGTGAAAAAACAAATCAAACACGCCAGATTCAAGGAAGCCCTGTTCAAAAATCACAAATCAAATGAACTCGCTGAGAAGCGACGGACACAGGATATACGGACTGACCATAAACAAAACGTCCCTGTCGCCGATGGACATGAAACGTTGGATCGCCATCGATGGAATCAACACGTACGCGTACGGGCACGAAAAAATTGAACTAAAAGAAAAAATATACTTATGTAATGTCCTGACTTCAAAAAAATATTCAAAACATTTATTACAGCCCGCGTGGGTGCTGGAAAGGCGCGAGCGCCATACACAAGCTTGCCGAGATAGCAAGAGTATCACAAAACGAAACCAAAGTGTGGTTGGATAAATAAGCCCTATGGCAAAAACATCTACCTACCGGCTTTGCGCTACGTGCCTAGAAGAAAATTTGATGCGTCGGCGTCCAATCGTGTTAACCAAGCCGACCTCCTGTTTCTACCTCATAACAAAAAATACAAGTACACACTAACCGTCGTTGATGTGGCCAGCCGTTACAAAGACGCAGAACCCTTAGCCGCCAAAGATTCGACCAAAGTAGCTCACACATTCGAGCGCATATACAAGCACAGTCCGCTGACATGGCCCACCGAGCTGCAAGTAGATCCCGGATGGGAGTTCATGGGTGCCATGTCACAACTACTAACCAAGCATAGCGTCTAAGTCAGGCGTGGTGCAGCCGGAGCTCATTATAGCCAAGCCATCGTGGAGAGATTCAATAGGACTTTGGCCGAGCGTTTATTCGGACATCAGTATGTGCAGGAAATAAGTCAAAATATATAACACTGAGTGGGTCGCGTGGCTACCTCAAGAGGTGTCGGCTATCTCGTTCGGACCCCGTGATCTTGTCGAGCTGGTCTTGTGTGAAGTCTTGCTTTTCCAGAGATCAGTTTTCCTTTTTCCAGAATTGGTTTTCTTGATGATGGCACAGCCAACGTTCCACACGAGTTCGCATTTGTCATTGTCGGAAGTCAATGTGATGTTAAACGCCAGTCGAACCTGTCCGGGAACGATGACGTCATTCTCACCCAGGTTGGGGAATCGAACGAACAGCGTTTGGTTTTGATCTATCTTGCTCGGATTGTTGGTGATGGTCACCGACTGACACACAGCTTTGACGCCGCGGGGCTCTGTTAATCTTCGGAAAGGATCTAACTTTCTTCCTATTGTGACACTGTTATATACATAAAATATATAAGTTTAATATAATTGATATAATGGATGACATTCCGATGGATGATTTGGGTGCTGGTGCGCTCGGTGATGGGGATTACCATGAAGACACCTCATTCATGGGCGACACCGTTAGCAACAAACTTTTAACGCAAACCGTAGATGAATATTACAATGCATTGAGGCGAGATAAAAATGACGTCGAACCGTTGGGATGAGACTATTCCAAGTTTGAAGTCGATGGCAAGGGCACGCTGCGATTGAAAGCTCATCGGGAGATCGATCTTATTAGCAAACACACGAGAAAACCGCTTGCATTGTCTACGCTAGCAAGTCGTCATGGTGGGCAACTGATCCACAAAGAATTAAACATGCGAGATTACGGCGGCGCACTTCCCAAAAAAACTTCCACCCAAAGTAGTTTGTGGTCTGCAAAACGTCAGGTCCGAACTCAGCAATATCGCAGACGTGCCTCAACATGCCAAATAAACGTCGGACAGCATCGAAAAACTGTTGGACACGTACTGGAACAAGCCTTTGCCGGGCTTCGAATCTCCTGTCAGACAACTTCAGGGTCTAGACAGGGCATTGCGGACCGTTCATGGAGAACTTGTGAACAACATGGGGAAACTGAACGAACTCGACGACCAAATCGCTCGTGAGAAAAGAAAACTCAGAAAAGAAAAGCAGTCCCTTTACCCACGATGTTGGAACGAGTTTGCGTCTGCGCGCCCACCAGCGCCCACACGTACGTTCGAATCAAATTGTTTAAGCGTTCGGTACTGGAGCGAGTGAACCCTTTTGACTCGTCCATCATAAACTTTTTCACATCATCTCCTGGTCCCTGTTAGAACCTCTAAACTTGGTTAATCCTGGCTGTCGTCGAAAGCCATGTAATCATCGTTCCACTCGTTCGTTGTGACGTAATGATACGACTTGTAACCCCAATCTTTCACTAGCTATTTGCTGGTTTCCGTGAGAGGCAAGTTGTGAACCCGTCTTCAGGTCGAGTTCGAATTCGTGGCAAATTCGTTCGTATGCACGTCGACCATATGGTTTGTTTACTAAATTCCACCCTTTGTCCTGTGTAAGCGGAGTGCTGATTTCTTTGAGGATATGTCTGATCTCATAGTACACGTGAAACGTAAACACAGACCAACTCATCGCATCACACCGAGTGTCGGTCACCTCAAACCGCACCCCGTTGTCGCGCACCACACGGCAAAATTGAATTGATTCTGCCAGAACTGCATCGGGTTGTTAAACCAAGTGTGTACCGTTTTAACGTTCATCACCGAAAACCCATAATTTTCAAACACATCGGTGAATGATGCTTTGAAACGCAAACTATCTTTTGCATCGACCACGATCTTCATATGTGTGAAATCAGAAGTATCGCTTTTAGGATATAACACTCCCAGTTTGTACATGTTGAATTGTTATATAATGTATAATATATACTTCCAATATGTACGTGAGGCTTCCGGGAATAACAAGCGCTGAGGCCGTTCAACTGCTGCACACAATCAATAACACGTCAGGCCAACTCGAAGTTGCACTCTGCGATGTCACCTACCTCCCACGATGGACCAACATTAATGACAGCAACAACAAGCTGATCATCAGTGGCTTCCGCAACCACATAACCGACGGTTACTACAGCATATGCTCGCTAAGCGACGAAGTCTTTAAACCCGTGGGAGAAGAATTCAAAATGAATGATTCAAACGGCACAGTCGTGTTAACCAACAACGGAGTAAAGACCTTGAAACTCAGCCGGTCATTGGCGAGAATGCTCGGGTTGCAGTCAGACGAAATAAAACCTACAACCACGATCACGGGTAAAAAATTACCTCCCGCAATGGACCAATATCAATGACAGCAACAACAAGCTGATCATCAGTGGCTTCCGCAACCACATAACCGATGGTTACTACAGTATATGCTCGCCAAGCGACGAAGACTTCAAACCCGTGGGAGAAGAATTCAAAATGAATGATTCAAACGGCACAGTCGTGTTAACCAACAACGGAGTAAAGACCTTGAAACTCAGCCGGTCATTGGCGAGAATGCTCGGGTTGCAGTCAGACGAAATAACACCTACAACCACGTATCACGGGTAAAAAATTACCTCCCGCGATGGACCAATATCAACGACAGCAACAACAAGCTGATCATCAGTGGCTTCCGCAACCACATAACCGACGGTTACTACAGTATATGCTCGCCAAGCGACGAAGTCTTCAAACCCGTGGGAGAAGAATTCAAAATGAATGATTCAAACGGCACAGTTGTGTTAAACAACAACGGAGTAAAGACCTTGAAACTCAGCCGACCATTGGCGAGAATGCTTGGGTTGCAGTCGGACGAAATAAAACCTACAACCACCATCATGGGTACGAAATTACCCAACCTTGTTCCGTACTGCGAACTGTGCATTCATCTCGATCAGATGAGCACAACGGACAACATTCAAGGTGACCGCCCTTCCACGCTGCTGAGAGCCGTACCGGTGAAAACGGAAAAGTATAACGACGACAGAACCGAATCGTTTTCATCGCGGCAGTACAAAAAATTAACACGAGGCACCATCTCGGAATTGAAAGTATTGGTTTTAAATATAAAACATAATCCTGTGAATATAGGATACCTCAGCGTGACGCTGCAAATACGACAATGACTAGCGCCCAAGGCCCCTGAACGTCCATGTGGTTGAAAAATTGCGCCAATATAGCAGTCTCCGACATCGGGGACATGCGAGGATTCGATGAACCCCGAATCGATGGCAAACTGTACGCCATGCAACTAAAAAACCACATTTACAAACGCATCGCCCAACCATCTGCGGTGGCAGTAACTCAGGTGATATCGTCGATACCTCAGGAGCTGACAGCAACACTCGGTATGGTCTAGTCCGCAACGACGAGGACCAATGGACGATATACCCAGCATTCGGTGGCAAACTGTTCGACTTAGACGATGTCGAGACCACGGTCGTAGGCTGAAACAAGCAGTACAGCCTCGTCTTCACCGACGATCCCGGTGCAGAGATGCACCGTGGTCGTCGAAGCCTTGTCGCGTCTTGATATACTCGCTCACATCTGTGCGTCGTAAGCAGTCCCTTTACCCACGATGTTTGAACGAGTTTGCGTCTGCGCGCCCACCAGCGCCCACACGTACGTTCGGATCGAATTGTTTAAGCATTCGGTACTGGCACGAGTGAACCCTTTCTACATGTCCATTCTAAACTTTTTCACATCATCTCCCGGTCCCTGTTAGAACCTCTAAACTTGGTTTATCCTGGTTGTTGTTGAAAGCCATGTAATCATCGTTCCACTCGTTTGTTGTGACGTAATGATACGACTTGTAACCCCAATCTTTCACTAGCTATTTCATATGTGTGAAATCAGAAGTATCGCGTTAGGATATAACACTCCCAGTTTGTACATGTCGAATTGTTATATAATGTATAATATGTACCTCCAATATGTACGTGACACTTCCGGGAATAACGAGCGCTGAGGCCGTTCAACTGCTGCATGCAATCGATAACACGTCAGGCCAACTCGAAGTTGAACTCTGCGATGTCACCTACCTCCCCCGATGGACCAACATCAACGACACCACCAACAAGCTGATCATCAGTGGCTTCCGCAACCACATAACCGACGGTTACTACAGCATATGCTCGCTAAGCGATGAAGTCTTCAAACCCGTGGGAGAAGAATTCAAAATGAATGATTCAAACAGCACAGTCGTGTTAACCAACAACGGAGTAAAGACCTTGAAACTCAGCCGGTCATTGGCGAGAATGCTCGGGTTGCAGTCGGACGAAATAAAACCTACAACCACCATCATGGGTACGAAATTACCCAACCTTGTTCCGTACTGCGAACTGTGCATTCATCTCGATCAGATGAGCACAACGGACAACATTCAAGGTGACCGCCCTTCCACGCTGCTGAGAGCCCGTACCGGTGAAAACGGAAAAGTATAACGACGACAGAACCGAATCGTTTTCATCGCGGCAGTACAAGAAATTAACACGAGGCACCATCACGGAATTAGAATTTAGATATAAAACATAATCCTGTGAATATAGGATACCTCAGCTTGACGCTGCACATACGACAATGACTCGTGCCAAAGGCCCCGGAACGTCCATGCGGTTGAAAAAATGCGCCAATATAGCAGTCTCCGACATCGGGGACATGCGTGGATTCGATGAACCCGGAATCGATGGCAAACTGTATGCCATGCAACTGAAAAAACACATTTACAAACGCGTCGTCCCACCATCTGCGGTAGCAGTAACTCAAGTGATATCGTCGATACCTCAGGAGCTGAAAGCAACACTCGGTATGGTCTAGTCCGCAACGACGAGGACCAATGGACGATATACCAAGCGTTCGGTGGCAAACTGATCGACTTAGACGATATCGAGACCATGGTCGTCGGCTGAAACAAGCAGTACAGCCTTGTCTTCACCGACGATCCCGGTGCAGAGACACACCGTGGTCGTCGAAGCCTTGTCGTGTCTTGATATACTCGCTGACATACTCTAGAGCAAACCAGGGGTGCAAAACGTGGGATTGCAGGTGGTGTCTGAATTTGACAGCGTGGCCAACATCCTGGAAAATATACCGGTGAATTCCATGCTGTGGAATTACCTTGGTGAACCAGCATCGTCGCACAAAGTCGAAATTGTGAAAGGAATCAAAACTCTGGTTGGCCAAACAACATGAATATCACGTTTGTTCTGTTTACGTGCGGGTGAATGTCGATTCCCATACCAGTCTGCAGGGGATCACCGTTACAGTGGAAGACACGATATCACTCACCAAAATCTTACTACCTGACAACATACATCTCATGGGGTTGAAGTGCACACCTGTGAAAATATCAGAAAAACAATTGGAAACTATTTTACAACATTTTTAAATAGACGCTGAACAATCATCATCCCAACGTCACGCTTGGTGATCTGGGAGACACGGAGGGATTTGATCTGCCTGGTCAGGAAGACACCTTGTACGTCCTACATTTGAAAGACAACGTGTACGAGCGGGTGTTGTTAGCAGACTTTAAAGAGCCCAAATGGTTGATCAACATAACCCTCACCTCACCTTACATCTCCTTTAAAGAAAGTGGTTACGTCTCCGAAATTCAGAACAACGTTGTCATTCATGGGTCTTTCATTCCAGATTTTTATGTACAAGTTATACGAATACCAGGTCACTCAGACAACATGTTAGCCCCAAACAGCAGGGCTGCAACTTTAGAGTTCAAATTACTCGATTACCAACTGGATTTTGTATATACCATGCAAAACTTCACACTCATCATAGACGTCTATCTCGGAGACTCTCCCGGGGTAGACAATTTTTACCTGGTGTTCCAATACAATGGGAAGACAGACACAAATACCAACGTTGCCATATTATCATCCGAAAAGCATTGGCATCCTTAGTAAGCCTCGATGGGGTCCATGTAGTAGCTCTCTCTGTTTCAATTGAGGCTGTTTACCTGTTCAATAGTATAAACCTTATAAGTATGAAATACATTCATAGATTTTTAACAGAAAAACAATTAAAATCTATTTATAAAATCTATATATATATATAATACACACAGGATGGGGCTGTATCCAGTAGTAGATGAAGAAGCAAAAGCACTGGAATCCGTAGACGGGTTTCGGTAGAAACAGTTATGTGACATAAAGCGTCAACTAGAACAAGATCGCGGTATACGGGCGTCATTAAGTAAGAAATATAATAGAGCTTTCAATTTCATGGATGGGGTCGATACCACCCTTATGGCAACCAGCATAGGATTAGGAGCGGTAGGTTAAGGTTGATGAAATCAGAATTCTGGATGAAGTAAAGTTAAACACGATAAGCGATCATATTACCACGGCACTCACGGACAACAAAATCTCAGAGGAAGAGTTTAGTCTGGTCCTCTCTGAACTCACAAAATATGACAAAATGAAACAAGAGATTCGGTCCAATTCTCGTAAAAACACTGTCATCAGCGAAGACGAGGGAAAAAAGTACATAGAACAAGGAGTACAACAAGCTCAACAAGCCTTCATTGCGAAAACCAAAGAAATCATAGGATATTCACATTAAATTGTTTCGCTGAGATTAATATTATATAGTTGATGTGACCGGGAAAGTGTCGGTTTTGACCAGGAAGTTAGGGGGCGAGCAAAAGGTGGTATCACACTAGCGGAGAGAGATAAGGGCCTGATAAAAGCTAATATTGAAGAAATAAAGCTTTACAGAGTCTTTTGTCAGAAGTGATCTCGTACCGCTATTCTATATACTACTTACATATTGCGATTTTTCACAATAATTTCACTGGCTATCAGATTGAAGTTACTTTTCAAACATAACCAGTATTTCTGTTATTGTATCTATACAGCAACATTCTTCGAACTTTCTCCATATACGTCCGCCAGATACATCGAACACTACCCCTTTCTCTCTTGATATTCTCAAACGAATCGAATAATCCTGGTCAAAGTAGAAAAGTCTTAAGACCCTAAATAGGTAGATCTTCCGTTTGGGGGATATGAGAAGGACAGCGATACCATTATATCCAATGTTATAGAAAGCACTCCACTTACTTAGGAAAACAATAACCCACTGAGATATTGCATTCTTGTTGGAATCAATATTTTCGGCACCTGTTAGATCTGAACTTGAACATGCGAGGTCCGCGTCTATGTCAGGCTAAAGGTCTGCAAGATGTTTAGCAGCACTGGGGCGTAATAGTCATAGGCCTGCTCCAAACAACGGAATATAAATCTTGTGAGGACTTCTCTGACAGGGAAAATTACAGCAGTGCAAGATTTTGCTTTCGGAATCTGGGTTTATGGATCGTCAATTGAAGCAGGACAATCAAGACGAATTTCACAAAAGGCACAGAGTTACAACATGCCTATGGTATACTCAGAGATGAACACCCGCCTGTGCTATCCGGTCAGAATCGCTACACCATAAAAACTATTTTCAAGTCATGTCTCACAGAATATATAATTTGATATGGCAATGTTTGTTATCATATACGTCTGTGTGAAAGAAACAAATGTGGACAACTTTAAGTTCATGTATGGCGATATTACAGCAAAGGCTGAGCGGAGGAAGAAATAACATGGTTAAGGCACTGTGAGACTATTAAGAAAGGTCACATGCAGTGCAATGATATTCTATTTATGTACTGCCAAAAACTATTTTACATTACTGATGCGCGAGCTGAAGAGACTTAAGAAATTACGAGTTGGTTCATGTAGCGTATTTGGCCGCGCTCCAAGAGAGATAAAGTGCTATTCTGTTGGGACAGCTAGGGACACTTGCAAGGACAAAGGGGCAGCTCATCGCCCTTTTGTTAACAACTCACAACATTTGCCATCACCGCAGGCAAGGCGTAACTGATACTGGTAGCAAGAGCGAGTGCAGCTTAAAAAGCCATGTTAGCTTGCGTAATATTGCTTTCTAAGTCAGGCTCTTTTGATGTTAAAAATAATGAGGTCACGTGAACGTTAATTTTAAACGTACTAAAATGTGTTAAAATAGAATTACGTGAACCAAGTAATTCACATGATGGAAACATATGATCATGTTGCTTGAGCACAGGTAACATGTACGTGTATGAACCGTTCATATACATACCCCTGAAATCCGGTATGATACATAACTATCTAAGTTGTGTAAACATTTGCAAATTTGAAAATTTACATGTGTTTCCCCACATACGTAAATTTACATGTTTCCAACCTGAGTAAACTTAGAATGAAATCGGAAATTTCAGCAACCATTGAAATTCAAAGGAACGCATCGGAAATACTGTATGATCATGTATTTACTGGGGTATCTGTTTTGCAATTCATGTTTGGAAATACTTGACAATCCGGTCATGTCATACATGAACGAGGTACTTGTGCATGCGAAAATGTATGATGAGCATATGTTTCAAAGGTATAGATTCATATGAAACATATGCCCGAAGTTGGGAAATCTCTGGAACATACGTAAATCCGGTCATGGCATATATTTCCTACTGTATTTACGTTTATTTCAATGATTTACTATCCGGCTGTTGGTCCTGTGTAAATAGCATTGTGTAATCATAGCTTGATAAGTAAATAAGAAGTACATCTGAATAGTTCAGTTCTGTGACATTCCCAGTATTTCAGTTCCTTCAGAAAAAAGCTGCTGAACAAAGGTGTCGATTATTTATCTGAAGTCCACAGTCGAAAATACAGACTTGGGGTAACTTGAAACGTATCCCATTTCTCCTTTCCAACTGAAACAGGTCAAATTTAGTCATTGATATTCAGTAAGAAAACCCGGATATGTCCCACAACTACCACATGGAGGATGTACTATCTTGTTTACATTTGCTAATCTGAGGACAAGGAGGCGGATGTCCCTTTAATGTTTGAGCAAAGGATTTGACTACCATTTATTCGAATCAGTTGAAACTGTTACTGCCTGCAGAATATTCCGATCAGTACTGTCTGCATGTCATGGGAAGGGTTTGGTTTATCTTCATTTGAGCTCCGTCTTTTACACGATGAGGAGGAATACAAGGCTCACAACGTTTCAGATAAGCAGTGAAATAATTCTATTATACGGACTTTATCAGTTGGAGAATTAACCAGTCCTTCTACTTTCAGTTACTGTATGAGTCCACCACGTTGTACCAGGAGGTTGCACACGTCACTTCCAACTGTCGCCAGCATGGTCGGTGTTTCTTTATACTTGTTCCTGGCGTTGATGTCCACATTCTCCACCTCGAGGACATACTTCACTATATCAACATTCCCTCCCTCAGAAGCATGATGAAGGACGGTGTTACTGTCGTTGTCCATTGGTGTTGCATCAGCTCCTGTATTAACAAGTAAGTCAAATATGTTTTATCCCCATTCCTTGCTGCCATCATCAGTGGTGTCCTACTGCACTGACCGCGACTGTTTTTGTGTCCACCTTGTCCAGCTTGAGGACACGGCTCACAATATCCACATGTGTCCCCACACAGGCTACATTGAGGACACTTTCACCTGCATCATCAAATTGTGTCGGATCAGCCCCTTTAGTCACAAGTAGGTCGAAGATCTTCCCATGTCCTTTGTATGCTGCCGCCATCAATGGAGTCCTCCCGCACTGTCCTCTACCATTGATGTCCTCGTCGTCATGTGAGAGGATGTAGTCCACGATCTTCTTATTCCCACCCCAACAAGCGAGATGAAGGACGTTGTTTCCATCTCTGTCTACATGTGAAGGAAGACCCCCTTTACTTACAAGTAACAGAAACATGTCTTTATTCCCATGTCGAGCTGCACACATCAATGGGGTTCTCCCATCCCTCCCTTTACTGTCAGTGTCCACCATGTTCTTTGAGACGACATGTTTCACCATTGCTATATGTCCTCCATAACATGCCCAGTGAAGGATGTTGTTACCGACATCGTCCACGAGTGCCAGGTTAGCACCTTTCTTCACAAGTAAGTCAACCAGTTCTCTGTGTCCCCTTCTTGCTGCCCACATCACTGGTGTCATGCCTCCTTTCCCCTGCTTGTTGATGTCCTCCAGACTCTGGTCCAGGATGTATCTGACTCGCTGTAGGTTCCCGTCCTTGCAGGCGTCATGGAGGTCAGTGTCCTGAGGACGTTGGGGGTTGACTACTATAAAACAAAGGTCACTCTGCTGGTCATATGTATGACTCATCTTACAAATTTGCAACGTTGCTTGCAGCAGGTATATAATGCGAGTTGCTACATATAATTTTAGGAGAGGAGAATGAGAAGTAAGTACCCAGGATATATTAAACCTGAACACCGCAGGATAAAGACAAAATAGCCTTGGTTAATATATTCATGAATGACTGTATATCAGTATTGACACCTTGAGTTCAGAGTAATATAATCTTGCCCTGTCGGTAGCATCTGAAATTTACAAAGTAATGAATAGTAATATTCACTGAATGGTACTCATGTCACTAAAAGGACTGCTGGTGGTCACACAGGGTGCAACCTCGCCAGATGTACGATCATGAGAGTATAGTTGTCAACCAATGGCCTTTACACCAAGTACCTCAGTGAATGAGAGAACAAACGTAATGAATGCCCCAATATTTTAATATTTTAATAAATAAAATAATAATTTGACACTTGTTAAAGTGAATGCCCAAAGGTGCGATGACTGGCTTTGTCATCGGTTGTACAATATCAGGACCAAGTTGTAATGGGCTGAAATTTCAACATGACAGCGCTACGCCCCATACTGCATAGTTGTGACCTACAACTTCTGATGTAACGCCGGTGTTGGTGTGATGAACAACCCATCCCGTTTGTCAGACTTGATCCCGATGGAACAAATTTTGGATGCTCTGTATATTAACCCCAGACTTTCCATGAAATTGAGCAAGGTATTCCTGCCATGTGAAATTCGTGACAAACATGAAAAACCAGGGCACCTCCCTGAATACCCATCCGTTCCAAACATACAGCTAAACTGTATTAAGATTATGGAGGATTGGAATTGAAAAGTTGTTATTCGGCCCAAAATCACCTAAACATATTTGCGATATTGATTTGTTCTTACCGCTATCAGCGAGAAGCTCTAGATCTCCCGAGTCTCCCCGGTCTGAAAATAGAAAACTATGTCTAAGGAACTAGGAAATACACTTCAAGACGATAATTTTAAACAACATTTGGCAATGATATGGAGTCATCCTTTACAGATGTGGATACTCTGTTTCAGCTTCCCGTTATTCCATTTGTGTAAGTCCTGTAGTCTTTAATGATTTAGATGGCAGTAAGTATAGTTAGGCCAGATGTTCGTCATTTATCTGCCGTGACATCAGAAATTGGTTAGGAAGGGAACACAGGGTACTGCCTCTCTGATGCGTTCCTAGCAGATGTAGATTGGCAGTCACAGTTGCCACAAGGTTGTTCATTAGGTTGAATTGACAGTTGACACTCTCTAGAACACCGGACACGTTTTAATGTCTCTAATCCTGTATACCAAATCCACGCTTCTCCTTCTGGAAAGAGCTTTCTGTCCTCCAACGACATATCCAAGATAGTCACAGAGTATGGCTGAACTGATGATCGGACTTAATATACAACCCCATCCTGTGAAATACACATGCAGTTAAATTTACCCTGCGCCACCGAGGGTAAAAAACAAATACCCTCCTTTAATCATGAATAATTGATAGTGAACACAGCATCAAATACTAACACTGACACAAACATTTTCCTTTTCACATTGATATTCATTCCCAAGGCTAATACATGTACTTTTCGCTTAGTTTATTTTCATGAGTAAGGCACCTTCAGTTATATCAGTTATCCTGCCTTTTTGAACTGATCATGATTATGATGTAAATACACCATACATCGCTGGATTATCATAGGGACATCATATGTTTATTTGGCAGCCATACTAACGCTATAACGAGGTGCATTGCATCACATGGGCACGTTGCTTGTAAGACTAAGTTTGTCCTTTATAAGTTAGTGGCATGTTTTACAAGTCAATCCAAGTCTAGGCATTCACAAGATGATGGAAAATGCCTACCTGGATATCATATTGATGCCTAAAAACATTGAAACATCCTATCGTCACAGACGTCCACTTGAATCCATCATCCATTCTGAACATTTGTGATGACATGCGCTTGTATAGCCTTTCACTCGACAGTAAAAACATTATCGGCTTCTTTTTCATACTTTCTCAATGTTCATATTTGTGTCGTTTGAATCCTGAAAAACGGTCAAAGAGTAACCTCACTTAGAAGATAAATAGTTTGGTTTGTTCAATTTCCGGGATTCATTGGAATTCAACATAGGCAAATTTAGTTTAAAACCGACGGCGTGATCGATCGATATTGTAAACCAATTTGTAGTGGGAAGCCTTTTTCCAAGGAGCTCTTTGAATGTAGCGCGATCGTGTGTCGCAATGCGGTTAGCCTCTCGTGGTCAGGTTCGCTGTCGCCCCAGATACGAGAAACGACAAAAGAAGGGTTACGCTATTATCTAATGGGGGAGTAGTATATATAATGGGGGTATGAGATCAAGTCCAACAAAAGCCTCTGCAAAGCCTTATTTCACAAATAGAGCTTTTGTCAGGCCCTTATATCCCGCCCCAGTATATCTGCTACTTTTGAGACTCCAGTTAACTTCCCGGCCACGCGTGGCACTACTGTGCCGCTATGCCACGTTGACAGGAGGTAACATTGTGCCGTACGGTATGATCAATAATTCCTCTCTAATGAACCCTCTACCTGGCCCATCTCTCAAGTAGTACAAGTTCGGCTCCAAATCGGCTTTGATGTCCACTTTATCTATGTTGTAAGTTTGACTGACCATATCGGATCGGTGGCTTTTCGCTTCACGGTTATCAGCCTCGTGTTCCCCCGGCTGGTATAGGTACCTCACGAGGGACCTGTCTGGTATTTGTTTCTCCTTCCCACGCAATGGTGCAGCCGCCTCTGCCACTATTGATTTTAGTTTGATAGCGTCTGCCGGTTTCTTGCCGGTGAGACGGGTCATTTCATGGTTGATGGCAGACACCACCTGAGGTAGCCGCGCTACCCATTCAGTCGATCGTTTCCCCAGGTTGGCCATCTCTCTCGCATACTGATGTCCGAATAAACGCTCAGCCAAAGTCCTATTGAATCTCTCAACTATGGCTTGGCTGTGATGGGCTCCAACCGTGCCACGTCTGACCTTGGTGTCATGTTTATCCAGCAGGTGTGACACGACACTCATGAACTCCCACCCGGGGTCAACTTGCAGCTCTGTTGGCCACGTCAGCGGACTGCACTTCTATATACGTTCAAATCCTCGAGCTACCTGGTCCGAGTCTTTCGCGGTCAAGGGTTCGGCTTCCTTGTAGCGACTGGCCACATCCACGACGGTTAAGGCATACTTGTACCTCTTATCGTGGGGTAGGAACAAGAGGTCCGCCTGGTAAACGCTATTGGGTATGTTAATACCAACTTCCTTCTAGGCACGTAGCGTGGTGCCGGTAAATAGATCTGCCACAGGGCATGTTTTTCAAGCCACGCTTTGGCCTCCTCCGGCGGTACTCGCGCCATTTTAGCCAGCTTATGTACGGGGCTAGCTCCTTTCCAGTACCCACGCGGGCTGTAGTCAATAGCCTCAAACTTTCTCTGGTTCCGTGACATGTCACCCGATATGTACACCTATGTTCTTGGTTCAATTTTCTCATGCCCATACGCGTACGTGTTGATCCCATCAATAGCTATCTAACGTTTAGTGTCCATCGGTGACACGGACGTCTTGTTTATAGTCAGTCCGTATATCCCATACCCATCACTTCTAAGCGAGTTCATTTTATGCCTAAAAGTACGGAACAGGGCTTCTTTGAATCTGGCGTGTTTGATGTGTTGTTTCACCACATACTTCTTGACACCCTTCGCCTTCCGGATCTCACCATTGTCGGCCTTCAGGATGGAGTACATGTTGGGCCTCAAACCTATGTACTCGCCTATGCGCGTGCCAGCACACTCGTCCTTCATCTTACCTATGACCTTTTTATTTACCGTGCTGTGTAAGGCATGGTCCTTGGGGTTGTCACTGGTGTCATACAAATCGAGGCATTTTTTCATGTCCTCATACACGTCCTCTGTTCGAATCTCCATCAGCAGGGAATCCGTGTCACTGTACAGCACTTCACACCTGTCGTCGTACTGTTTCTTCAGCTCGTTGTAGTAAAAGTCGTACATCAGGTGTTTGGATAAATCGAGGATGCTCATCCCCACGTAAACAGGCCGGTTGAATTTTATGTGGCTTTTCTTCATGTGTAGGGCAACCAGGTCATCGGTGAATATCTTGCTCCGGTTGAATGCCGGGCTGGCTATCAGCCTCCTGAGCTTGTCTTCCTCATTCGACCGAACCAGCTTCACGGTCACGCGTTTCCTCAGGTTCTCCATAGTCTTACCAAACACCGAGTTGTTCATGAGCTTGTAGAGATTTTTCTCAAAGTCACTGGTGGCAAGCTTTCGGAGGTCTGTGTTCATTCTGATGTATGGCTCCATCCAGGGGCTCTGGTTGAACACGAGCACCCTGTGTATTTTGGTCAGCATCATACCCAACGACAGGTACAGCTGTAGGTTGCGATAGTGAACTATGTACTTGGTCTTATTCATTAAGTTGGGCACGAGTTTTTCAACGTCTGCCATCCGCCCACCTAACAAGTTATGTTGGTACTCAGACATCCAGTCTGGGTTAACCCTCATACGTTCGGGGACCAGGGGGTAGCTGTTGTGTGATGTGTGTAATGCCTTAGGGTATTCCAAGTCCACCTCGAGGATATAACCTTTGTTCGAATCTGGTGCGATGCTCATAACATCAACTTCGTGCGATTCCCATTCGAATCCCCCTGTGGGTAGATACTGGCTCATGGCCCAGCCGTACAGGTTGTTGGCATCGAGGTAGAGAATGTGATTGGTTGGCTTGCTCGGGTCGTAGCCCTTCACGCATTATTGATTATTTGCTTTTCGCATATCATTTGGTTGCCATGGAAATCCGCGCCATAAGCCTTTCTCAATAAATAGGTGCATGTCGTGATCGGTGAGCAATTCCAACTTAACTCCGGTCTTTTTCAACAAGGCATCCCACAACAGACCT